CCCTTGTGCTTTAGAGATGGCTCAGCTGGTAAAGGTGCTTCTGCCAAACCTGATGACCAGAGTTTGATCCCAGGGATGCACATGGCAGAAGAAGAGACCTGCCTCCCACAAGTTGTCCTCTGACCTCAACAAGCACTGTATGGCATGTGCACACATGCTTACTTACAAACGTACACAAACACATACACTCGCATAATATAAGTATACACAGACATAAATGTGAGTGTTTTTAAAGTTCTCCTCTTTCAGAGACCCCATAAGAGCTATGTACACAGATAGACGCCCTGGCAAGGTAGCAATCAAAGATGATTCGGAGTGCTAAGCTTCCTAGGGTTAAGTGCTCATAAACAAGGTACTCGTTTTGTTGTTACTGTCGTTGGGTGTTGTGTGTATGTGTGTGTACATGTGTGCAGGTGCCCACTGAGGCAGAAGAGGGCATCAGATCCCATAGAGCTGAAGCTGCAGGCACTTGTGAGTTGCCTCATATGGGTGCTGGCACCTGAACTCCAGGCTCTGTAAAGGCAACACCTGTTCTGCTAACCCCTGGGTGTCTCTCCAGCACCACTTTTTAGAGCACTCTTAAAAACCAAAGAGAGCTCTGTTTAAAGGAAAGAATATAGTATGTCTTTTGGGAGAGAAATAAAGGACAGTAAGACCTCTATGATTTGTCACACCCTGTCATCATGGCTGAGTATCTGAGGTTAACTTTCAAAATCTCATCAGCATGCCTTACAAGTAGACTGACTATGTTCACAGAAACTTCACTGCAGAATTATAACATCAAAAATCATGTCAGGATGTCATCTCAGTGAATTCTCAGATTTTGATCACAATGTCTTCTATAGGTTTTGGGCACAGGACTGGCAAGTAGATTTGCAAAAGGCTGTGGATTATGAACTAAACCTACAGGTAAGTCTTGTATATTAGGGGACCAAGAAGTGTGTAGAATTGCAGGGGCAACACACTTAACTTATCCCTGGTACTTGGCCAAAGAGGAGGTCACTGCACACATACCAATGAAAAGCAGTTCTAGATAGAAAATTACAAATAATGGTCTGATGCTGGGGTTTGTTTTTTGCCAAAGACCCAGAAACACTTAGAAAAACAGCAAGTTTTTGTCTGCCACGTTTAAGGGGCTCAATTTGCCACGCTAACCGATTGACGCTTAGAGCAATGTTTTATTGTCTTCTGCCTGCCCATTAATAGTAGCAGGAGGACAATAATTCAAAATAATTACAGAAGAGAAAGGTAGTAATTAGCAGTACAAATTAGCTATTAAATGATTCAGAAATTTCAAAGTGGGAAGATGACCTTTTCACTTCTTATCTGGCTGTGACAAATTGGGTTCTGGCTTGAGAGGGAAAAAAAAACAAAGCATTCCAACACATGATGGATTCCCTTCCCCTCCCTGTGAGGAGCTGGGTCAAGCTCATTAGAAACATGGCAGAAAGTGTGAATTTCAGGATGTCCGTCAGCAGCTTCTAACCTGCCTACCTGGAAAGTCACCTTCCTCTCTACACTTTTGGTGCCTTCTCTCTCATGGTAAGAAAGAAAAACAGGGAGAGCCCACAGAACATAGTGTCTTCTTTAATTTGTCCATGCCAGCCTAATGAATACTTAATGGGTCATTTCCTGTTATAATTTAAGGGTTTTTTGGTTTTGTTTTGTTTTTGCTTGGCTATAAATTGGGGAGAATCACTGGGTAGAGCTCTTGCTGCACAGGTGAGGACCTGAGTAAAAATCCTTAGCTCCATGCAGAGTCGCATGTTGCATGCCTGTAATCCCAGCATCTCCATGGAGAGATACGACGTAGAGACAGGCTCCCAGCCAGCTAGCCTGCAAAGCAAAAACAACAGAGAGCCTGCCTGTCTCAAACAAGGTGGAAGGGAAGACCCACACCCGAGATTGTTCTCTGGCCTCCACATGCTTATCATACTCTCTCTCTCTCTCTCTCTCTCTCTCTCTCTCTCTCTCTCTCTCTCTCTCTCTCTCTCTCTTCACATCAAAGGTGGCAGCAAAGTTCTCCTCTGGGCTCCTTTCCCTCTGAAAACCATCCTGGGTTATTCTTGCCATTTCACCTGCTCAGTTAGAACACCCTGTTCTCAACTCTGCCCATGTCTAACCTGGAACCATTTAAAAACAAAAACCTCCTCCTCTTAGGAAAAGTTCCAAAGTTGCAAGCTTATCATGTAGCTCTTTGCACGATTTTAATTCAGGACATTTCTTTGCAAGTCAAAGCATTAAAAGCAGTCTTCTCATGTGAAGCCTCTGGATCTTGTCATGAGAACATCTAGTATCATGCTCTTGACACAGAGAAAAAAAGCAATTATTTCTACCTCAGATCAGTGTGTGGACGCACCACTAAATCCTGTGTCACCAATTTGGTTCCTGACTGAGAAGAGAACAAATTGTATTGAAGGTTGCTTGGTTCCTGTCTGAGAAGAGAATAAATTGTATTGAAGGTAAAGAATCATAGATGTAACTTAAGCCATGAGCCTTCTCTCATCATAAAGGGGTGGCAATGGGGGTGGGGGAGGGGGCTAGGCTCAGAGTAGAAATGGATTGTCTGTGATCACACCAGGGTGCAGGGTAGGTGGTTTAGGTTTCCATGCTCTGGTCAAGTCCTGGCTCAAAATCCAGTGCACTATGCATCTCACCTGTCTCCTAAGTGCCACCTGTCTCCCAAGCACCACTGACATTCCTGCCCCTGACCTCAAGCCACAGTCACGTCAACACCTGTCATCTGGAGGCTTCATATCTGCAAATTCACTTTCTTCCCAAATCAGTGCTTAGGCTGCTCTCATGGTGATTCACAGGTGCAGAGTAGTAAAAGCTTTGAGCTACCCCCTGCATTTCCCAAGCTGAGGTTGAACAAGGCAATATCCTGCTTCAGCCCTCCTACAGTAAACAAATATCCTTCTCAGGGCTACTTAATGCCACCCTCTTTTGCATGCTGTGCTTTGGGGTGAGATTTCACTGTTAAAATGTCAAAGTGCTAAGATGCTGTCTGGGGATCCTAAGGGAACAATGCAGTGTCAGCTAAACTTTGCACAGGTATAGGATATGGTACTGCAAGCCTAGGATTCACAATATCATTGTGTGGCTCTTCCTGGGGTGATATGAACAAATGCCTGCTCACCACAGGTAGGCCACCAAGAACAGACAGATGTATGATTCCACCCCAGTCTTGCTTAGTGAACTAATGGCTCCATTGAGTTATTTACAGAAGTATGGGTGAAGGATTACCATGGGTGACTCAATGGCAGCTTCATCACCAAAAAGTCCACCCCAGCCTGGGTGAGAGCTCACAACAATTGAATCCCTGGAAATCCCTGTCCAGCTTGCAGGCAGCTCCACTGAGCAGTCTCCTCTCCCAGCCATTATTCACTGATTTTATAAGCTTGGGGAGGGGCCTTGTGAGTCCTGTAAGTTTCATGACCTTCTTGAGCCTGGTAAGTTCACTTCCTATATCTTATGAGTCTCCTTCTTTGCTCCAGAAGAGAATGTTTCAATATGGAGGAAATATGCACAAAAGATAAAAAAATAATAAAGAAGGTGTCATATAGAAATGTACACTTTTTTAAAGTTATGTGTTAATGGACTGATGGCCACAGGCTGTGGGAACCTAGCCTGTGTTTCCCTAGAAACAATGGTTTGGTACTTGCTCTCTTAGTGTTCATGGAGATGTCATAGAACATAATGACTATGAATAATGGGCATATCTATATATTAGAAAAGGCCATTGACACAGACTACAAAACAAAAACACTAAAATAATACAGAAAGGGCTGGGGCAGTGGCTTATCAGTTAAAGAGCATAGACTGTTCTTCCAGAGGACCAAAGTTTGGTCGCTAGCACCCACATTGGATGGCTCACAGCTTCCTGTAATTGTAGCTGTAGGGGATCTAATACCCTCTCCGACTTCTGCAGGTACCTGCACACATGTGGTACACACACACACACACACACACACACACACACACACACACACACACTTATTTAAAAGATAAAAATAAATAAACCTTAAAATAATGCAAGAAATCTGGATGATCACATCCAGATTACAGACAGGTACAACTGAGGGATGATGCAGAGGGACAAGGTCTTGTGAGTACTTATCCTCATCAGAGGGGCTTAGTTCCCACATGTTTGGGCCTTCAGTATGTGTGCCATGTCTAGCTCTGACAAGACAGTATTAATGATTTCCAGAAAAAAAAAGAGGTGAGTCTAGATATTTCCTAGAAGTAGATTCAGAGCAATGGGTACACCAGCCCTCTGCCCCAGTCCTCCCCACAATGCTAACTCTCCTTAGACTCAGGATTGTCCTTTAGCTCAAGCTCCAACAGCCTCACCTCTGCAATAAGTCTTTGATTCTTGCAAGGAAAACAAACTGAGAAAACTACTTTCTGGAAAATTAAGCTGAAAAGAAAAAGAAAAAAATTTATACATATACATATATATATATACACACACACATGCATGCACACACGTAAACATGCACACATATGGTCACCAGAATGATTCAGAAAATTAAGGAAACTTGTCACCAAACCTGATGACCTAAGTTTGATCCCAAAGATCTATGGTACAAGGAGAGAGCTGACTCCTGCCAAGTTGTCCTCTGTTCTCCATAAACACACACACACACACACACACACACACACACACACACACACACACACACACACCTGACATTTCATCTGGCTCCCTCTGATCCCTTGTGAGCTTCTTACCTCTGTCTACATGCCCTCTCCTGTCAGAGGTTTGTTCTGACATTCCTGTCTTCCCATCTCTTCCTCATGCCTCCATTGCAGTTGATAATGGCCCAGAAATTTATTTCCTTCTTGTTCACTTTCCGCCTGGTTTCTCTACTAAGCAACAACCTCCAGGCAACACACCTGCCTTTTTCCCTAATGAATCCCAACACACAGCAGGGTGCCTGACATTTTTAACGGACTCAATAACTTGCTGTTAAATAATAAATGCATGAGATATTCAATTAATACAAGCACTTGTCATTAAAACTGTGTTCACTCTTGCACAGGGACCATGCTAATCTTCTCTGTATTGTTCCAGTTTTAGTATATGTGTTGCCAAAATTTTCACAGGACAGCTAGGACACAATACAGAGAAACCATGTTCACTCTTGACAGGAGCTCTGAAGTATTGATCAGATCCAGTGAAATGAGGTACCACATACCAGGCAGACAGTGTCTATCAATCCTGTCACTTCAAATTCTACACGTGCAGTCTGTCATCTCTGGTGCTGGTTCCAACATGACCATGTCGATATGACATCTTATCTACAGGACTTGGTGATGTTTGCAGCCAAAGCACTGGGCAGACTTCTCCAGCCTGGAATGTGAGCTCAGCACTATCAGCTGCTGTATAAGTGACCTTGGCTCTCTGTCACCTGTTGGCTTAACCCTGACATTACTAGAAATCCCACTAGCAAGACCTAAAACAGAAGAATTTCACAGGAAAGCATCTCAAATACATGCCAGAAGCTTTATGTTTCTACTTTAAGTCTCTTTGTTGTTTCATTTCTGTCCCCTCCCTGAAGGGCATCTGTCCATAGACCTGTCACACTGCACAGCTAAGTCTGGCAGATAAACTTGAGTTTACAGAGGGCTTCAATCAGTGTCTGAAACCACCAACAAAACACACACACTGGACACACACACACACACACACACACACATACCATACACACATTCATCCCCCACACATACACACCACACACACCACACACACAACGACATACACAAACAGCAACACACATACACTTCTATTGTTGAGCTTAGAGAAACAGATTGTGAAAATAAACAAAAGCAAAATTTTAAAAGTTGCTAGGAAACAATTTGGTTTCAAATGGGGGCTCAGAGAACTTTTCAGGCTTTGGGCTTTTTTTTTTTTTAACAGTTCTTTCATCTTTAAATCATGTTAACAGCCACCCCAGGCTTTGAGCATTGATTTTCACTTGTAATTTAGCAAATAATAAACAAGGCGGTGAAACGATGGCCAATGTGTTGCCGTGGCTCCAGGTTCATGGCTGGCACTCACACCCATCACACCTTCATTTTGTAATTAAGCTCTGCATGCAGTTAGCATCAACCAATCAGAAGTGACTACTTATGATCCATGCATGCCTGAAGGAACAAACTCTTTATGTTAGCAAGAGACACATGCAGGAATCTTTTGAAACCCTCCCTTCATCACTGACTCACTGGAGCATGACTTTCCCACAGAAACCTAGGAAATACCTGACTGCCTAAGCCATCACTCAGAGCACTGGAGGTACCTCAGGACATCACATAAGGACAATTCAGGACACACCGAGCCACAGGGAAAGTAGAGACTCCTTGAAGCTTTGGTCCTTGGAGTCTGGGGTGCAGGGCAAGGATTTACTTACACCTAGCAGACAGTCTCACAGCTGTTGCTATTCATGTGTGCAGCTAGACCACAGAACGCCCTGGGTACAGAGAAATGGCCTGACAGTGTACAGTCCCTGTCTCCTGAGCATGCAGCTGTGGTGACCATGCATAGCCCCAGGAGCACAGGACACCTTCCCCTTCACACTGATGCAGCCATCAGGCACTAATGTAGGAAGTCTCTTTGCACAGAATCCTCTTATCTCCTGAGCACATGCAAGTTAATTAGGTAAGAAAGCCATGTCCCTACGAATCCTTAGGCAGTCCAAAAGTAGAAAATCCCCTCCACAATTCACAGTAAAAGATGGTATGTCCCCAGGAATATATCTATTCTGTGAATGTGTTTGAGTTATTTATTTGTTTGCTGGTTTGTTGGCTAGCTGCCGGGAACAGATTCCCATGAAAATAAGAAAATCAAAAAGATTTGGCCATCTGTGTCTGTACTCCCACCTAGCAAATATTGTCCAGGACGCGCTCCTCTAACTAGATTGTGTTCTTCCGTTTGACCTCAGTGCCCATTCTTCCCCATCGGCACATACCAACCCGTCTCTCATTGTCGTCTGCTCACCTGCTAATGTACAGGTGTGAAACTTCATCTGAGCTTTTAAATGTGTCACATTTGAATGTGCATATGTCCATTTGTGCCACTTCAAAATAAATGCTTTAAAGTGACACTCAGCATAGCATGTTGAAGAGAGGGCTCAGTCCCCTCTTCTCCAGGAGATATGGGTTCAATTCCCACCACCCACATGGCCACTCACAACCATGTATAACTCTACCTCTAGGGAATCCAATGCCTTCTTTTGGCCATTGAGGGCACCAGGCACGCATGTAGTACAGACATACATGTGGGCAAAACATTCATAGCTTTTTTTTTTTTTTTTTTTTTTTTTGAAACTTGGGTCAGACACTTCTTAATCAACTTTGGAACTTTGAAAACCTGAGCAGAGCATTCCCTGTCAGTGTCCTGCTTTACAGCTTTCAGCTGCCACTGCATGCCAGTGCTACCTACCTCATGACTCTCTAGTTCTCCTCAGCTAAACTTCAGCTTCTGTCTCAGATGGAGACAGAGACGGGCTCCAGATCATCCTGGCTCACAGAACAGAATGACTTTGTAAAGTCTATTACTTCAGGAGATGGGTAAGAAAAGGAAGGAGGAAAGCTATGGGTCATTGTGTTGCAGAAACAGCAAATTAGATATGCATCCAGTAGCAGATGAGAACGGAGGGGGGTAAATCAGCATTGGGAGGAAGGAAGTCACAGTAGGATCTAGGGCCACATACCACTTACATAAATCCAAATCCAAGTGCACGTCAAACAATGCAGACAAAATAAAGGACACATAGAAATCCCCTAGACATTTCCCAGTTGGTGAAAGGAAAAGAGCATGATGAAGCATATGACAGGGACCCTGCTGAGGGAAACTCAGAACTGTACCTGAGACCCAACTAGGGAAAGAATAAAAGCAAACAAAATAAAACAAAACAAAAACCCAAAACACAAAAAACAACAACCAAAAAAAAAAAAAAAAAAAAAAAAAAAAAACAGTAAAACCAAACTTGAACCTCAGGAAGCCCTACCCACAGCTGCACTCAGGAAGTTCTGCCCACTGCTGCTCTGCCTGCTGATGCTCCACCCCCTGCTGCAAAACTGAAGGAAAGGAGGGAGGAAGGAATCAATGGCTCTCTTTGCAATCCTTTTATTGGCAAATGAAAGTCACAAGAGAATAAATGTCAAGACAGAGAAGGGCGTGACCTCCTGAAAGTACCCAGATATATCATCTAAAGGTCACAAAACTGAATCACTAGTCTGCTCTGCTACCAGACCCCCAAAGTTTGGTGTAGGCAATCATGACCGCCCTTCCCTCCCTGTGCCCCATGTGTATTCTACGTGGCTGGCTGGCCATCAATTTTGGTCATATGTGCTGCTTGATCACCCCACCCTAAGTTACTACTTTATTCACCTAAATACTGATTCTATCCCTAAGTAATAATGTGTATGAAGTCAGAGCTTTGGTGAGCTAGTTATATTTGCATTTCCTTAATAAACATTAAAATAAATTTAAGCCTTTAAAAAATTACAGGCCCAATTAAAGCTAAATCAAATGTGTAATGTATTTGTTATGGTTAATTCTTAGCATTAAATATATGAAAAGTGGAGCAGGGCTCAATCATCACATGGCCATCTGGCTCTGGTGGACAGGTAAACAAGGCAAATCAGCTTCCTTCACACAGCCCAGTCACGGTGTCTGTAGTATGGGGCTGTCTGGGTGGTCCAAGGACAAGAAGAGGACAGTAACAGCAAACAGCACATTGGGAGTGTCACACTGAGGTCTGAAGCAGTGCCCATCATGCCCACTCAGATTCCTTGGTTACGATTCAGCCACAGTAACCATCCATTGCATATAGATATATTGATCACTGGTGTCTGCGCATCAGGGCCAGGAAGCTGTTTTTGCACTGATAATTTAGCATGGTGCTTGGCACAGTGATTCTAAACCAGAATTCCTTGAGTGGTAGACAGAATCCTGAGCCCTGTACATCTAAACTCCAACAAACAGCAAAGAGGACACTGATGTCTCCTGTGGCTGCCAGAGGCAGCAGAGCTGGGAGGATCACCAGACTGTCTCCTGGGGAACATGTGTCTCTCTTAAGCCAAAGCAAAATTAAGAAACATTGTCACAGATAACATCCTGAAAACGCAGGGCAGGGGTGCTTTAAGGAAACTTCCAGAGGGATAGGAAACAAATACTCCCCTTAATCTACATAGAAGCACAAAGGTGAATAGTTAGAATACAAAGGACATTGAAAACAACACACTACACAATTAAAACTCAAAATGACGGACAGGAAGAGGAATGGCCATCTCCTAAGTCACCAAGTCTAGAGGAAATAAACTATTACACAATAACTTTTAAAAAACGGTATCCTGGGGAGAGGTAAGCACAAATCATTTATGAAATGGGAAAATAAGGAGAGGACAAAGGAAGCAGAGCTCCAAAGCAGACATGGTGTCCAGAGCTGTCTGAAGCACTGGAGTTGGAAGTTATTTACCAGGCAGTGACTGACTGGAGATACCCAACTGGCCATAAATGCTAGACACACACATTTTGTCAGATCATTCCCCACACTGACATGAGGCAGGATGGGAAATTCATCCTTAGACTGAGTCGTCGGAGAATGCACTTTCCATGGCCAAGGGGGGGGATGCATTAGCTTTTATTACTGACATAACAAATTTCTACAAACTTAATGATTGAAATCATCACTGGTCTACCATCACTGTAGATAGTCCTGTGTATCAGAAATCCAGGACAGTCTTCCAGGACTTAAGTCAAACTGCTGGTAAAGTGCATTCCTATCTGGAAGATACAGGACAAGAATTTCTTTCTTTCCCTCGTCTAGTTTGTAGAGGCAACCTGTGTTCCCTGGGTCATGGTCCACAGCAAAAAGAGTCTTCTTGGGCCACCATCTCTCCGTGTTTTTTTTTTTTCCTGCCTCTCCTTCACTGTGACTACATTCAGTCCATTTATACAATCCAGGGGAGCTTTCTTGTTTGAGGTCACCTGATTAGTGATCTTCATTCCCATTGCAATATTTATCTAACACAGTCACAGATTCCAGGATTTAGTACTTAGTGCTGGGGAAAAGAAGAGCATTATTGTGTCCTAATCAG